CCGGGACTGGAACCATGGACGCTGCGCTTTCGGTTTTCCACACGTGCTCCCTTCCCTTCCCCCTCCGATCCCTGACCGCCCTCAACCTGGATGTCTCTCGCCTCCCGAGGCCCCGCTCCCGAAGTAGGGGCTGAGTCGGGTTTTGCGCGCAGGCTCGCCATCCGCCTCCTTGCCCCGGGATGGCGGGGACCGGGGAGCCCCGCGCTTCACCCACTGCCTCTCGGCGGCCGAGGCGCGGGTCTCCAGGGCAGGGCTGGGCCGAAGGCGGGGATGCGCAGGGCGCCCGCAGGCAGAGTCGGAGGGGCGCGGGGTCCCCGAGATTAAACATTGGAGGGATCGACTCCCCCACTTCCGAGGCGCGGCACCCACCTCCAGCGCCCGAGCCGTCCAGGCGGTCAGTAGGAGCAGTGCCAAGCTGGGCAGCATCGCTACCCTCGCGCGGGGCACCGAGTGCGCCGGCTGCTGTGCGAACGCGATCCGCCGCGCCCTTGCTCTGCCCGCGACGACGCCGCCGCCGCTGCCGTCTCCGGGGGTCCTGCGCTCGCCCTGCTCCGGGTGCTGTCGCCTACCGCTGCCGAGGAAACTGACTGAGCCGAGCTGTGGCGGGGCTCCGAGCCGGGCGAGTCAGCTGATCCGGCCCGCCCCGCTCGGCACCCGAGAGAGACCCCTAGCGGAGCCGCCGGGGAGCTGCGCCCGCGCTTCGGAGCCCGCAGGTGCACCCCGCCCGGAGGGCCGACCGCCTGTGCTCGGGGCACTGAGGAAGGAGAGTCCCGGACTGGAGGAGGACGGTGCGAGATCGGGGGAAGGTGAGTCGAGGGCGTTTGGGCTCCAGAAAAGTCCAGATAGCTCGCGGCTAGTCCGCATGAGCTTGAATCATCCGACCCGGTCGTCCTGCCGGGCGTGGATATGAAGGGCCGCTGCCCGGGCGCGTCTGTCTCCACGTTTCATTTTTTGTCTCTGGGTTTGGAAGGGTGGGGCAGACATTTTGGGACAGAATGGGAGCAATCGAAGCTTAAAGGAAATAGGATTTCTTTGCTTATTGAGAGTGCAAAACCCTCAGATTTTCTTTTTCTTTTTCTTGTTAAAAGCAGCCAGGACCAAGCTGAAATTTTTGTCTGTAGAAGGAACCCAAGGAGAAAGGCACGGGACCTGAGATAGAAGCAGGTGACCCATTTTTTCTTTCACCTAAAAAGGAAAGTTTGGGAGTTTTCTATATTTAGATTTTTTACTCTTTTACGTTTTTGTTTTGTTAGAGAGGAGCACAGTCCTCGGGAATACTTTTGACCAGCAGGGATGTGACAGCCACCTGAGATGAAGAGGAAGTGAAAGTTAAAAGGGACAAACTCTTGAGAGTGAATTCTCGTTCTACCCCATAACTGATGACTTCTGACCTAAAACTCTGCTCTTGTTCTTTATTGCTTCTTCTAAATTTCAGAAATGAACTTTCTGCAAAGCCATTTTCTCCTAGTTAAAACCATCCAGTGCTGAGTGTCCATCACCCAGGATGGTGAAGATCTGCCTAGATATGCCCCCTTCTCCTGACCGTAAGTGGCGTCGGTCACCAAGCCACTGTGCGCGTGGAACTAGGGAGGAAGTGAAGCCAGGGAGGCCTCGAGGCCTTCTTAGGGCTGCGCTAGCCTGCCTTTCCTCCGACCTGCTCCTTCCCCAGCCAAGGATGCATCGAAACTATGGCTCAGCCTGCTTCCTTTCTCAGAAGTCAGCGTTATCTACCTACTGTCTCCCCAAAGTGTTGCTCTACACATCCAGTCCTGATCCTTGGATTGCTTTTTGTCCTGAATGTCCTTTGAATGTCCTCAACAATTAATGACAAATATTTGTTATGCAGCATTTGTTTCCGTGCTCTGTATCATTTACTGTCTACGAAATCCAAGGAAGCCATTGCTATTATTCCCGTTTACAAGTCAGGAAACCAGGGTCTGGGAATGTAGTTCAATGGTGGAGTGTATGCTTGGCACTAAGGAGATCCTGAGTTTGATCCCCAGCACCCTAAAAAAAGAAAATTCCCAAGACATCAGGAAGTCAAGAAACTTAAACTAATGAATTTCTCCCAAATCCGAACTGCAAAAAAGTTGGGACTGCAGGGAAAAGAGTAAGACGACAGGAAAAAAAAGAAAAGAAAGAAAATGTCGTTAACATTCCATGCTACACTGCTTCCCAAACACACTCACCACCGAGATTCTGTTCATCCGAGTGCAACGAAGGCATCTGAATACCAGAAGCGTGTGATGTGGAGATGGAGAGGGAACAGGACGCCTATGAAAACATGGTACCTTCTGTTCCAAAATTAAGGATTTTAAGACTGTGACAGCCCAACATTAAACCAAGCATGAGATGCTCCTGAACACAGGGAACAAGTTACAGGATGCTGGAGGGAGAGAGCTGTTTCTATGAATAAGGGACTTTCAGTCAGGCACAGTGGTGCACACCTGTAATCCCAGCATTCGGGAGGCCGAAGCAGGAAGATAGCCACAACTTCAAGGCCAGCCTGGGCTACATAGCAAGACCCTATCTAAAAAGAAAAAAGTAAGGGAGTATGAAATTTAAAAATATATTGATGAAGTTCTAATCTGTAAACATAAAAGTTCTTATTTATCAAGTTCCAATGGCGAGATTGAAACTCACCCCATTCCCACGTTCCTATGAAGGTTTTCCTAGAGGGAAATGATTAGTTGCTTCGTGAGTCAGAATGATGAATACTTCCTACATTTTTTCCTGTCCCTTCACTACTCAGAGATCCTGATGGCATTTTGCTTCTCCTCACTACCTCTGCCCTTAATGTTATTTCCTGCCCTGTAGCATCTTCCAGATCCTCTGAGCAGGAAGTATAGAAACATCCCTAGTTAGAACCCAGCAAAGCTAGGGAAGGGACTACCAGCAGTCCGGTACTGTAAGCCGGACTTAAATGCCTCCTCTTGTGAGACATTTGCTAGCTCTTCTACCTTTGGGCTGTATGGTTACTAGAAAGTTCTTACATTGAAAGCTCACATCCCTTTCCTTTAAACTCCCACTCATATAGCCTTATTGTGTCCCTTGTTGCCCAGCAGAAAATTCATTTCTACTCCACACTGAAGATAATCACATATTTGCCAGTAGTTTCCTTGCTGATTCTGCCTTCAGAGTCCTCTTCACTAGCTAAGTGTCTTAGTTACTTTCTCATTGCTGAGACACTCACAACTTAAAGGAGGAAAGGTTTGTAGAGGCTTCATCCCTTAGTTGTCAGGACAGCCTGGCAGAGGAGAAGGAGCTCATGGCATGGCATGGCAGTGGGAAGCTTAGACAAATCAAGGAGGGAGAGAAACAAACCCTGCTGGGCCATGTGCCCCGTGACCACTCCCAGACCGGACCACTTCCCAATATCACATTTAGCTATAAACTCATCAGTTTACTAATCCATAAATCCATACTGATGAATATCACACCTCATGATCCAATCACCTTCCAAAAGCCCCCTACGAGTGCATGAGGCTTTACAGGGACATCTAGATCATCACACCAAGCACTTCCTTGAATAGTCACCTAGGTGGTGCAGTTTCTAGTTGCTTCTACATGGTGAACATTCTCTGTATGTGTTCTGGTCAATCTGTATCTGCAGCCTTATGTTGTATTTGATTTTTTGGTAGCTGCATCCCATTGTTGACTCAGATTGGTCACACTTGCTAAAAGTTTTTCCAGTTGTTTTATGCTACTAAGCCGTGTCTGTCATCTTCTGTTTAAACTGTTATCTGTGTCTCATTAATATCACGAAAAGCCATTGTAAGTCTGAGCCAGAAGATGAGCCCTGTATTAACTTGCTAGAATCTCCATGGCCACATTCCACAGGCTGGGGCTGGGGTGTAGCTGAGTGCTAGCCTGTTTGCTAGCATGCTTCAGGCCCTGGTTCAATGCCCAGCACAAAAAGTAAACAAAACAAACGAATAATACCCCAGAGACAGTGGCTTAAATGGCACATATTTATCTTCTCATAGTTCTAGAGGCTAGAAATCCAATATCAAGGTGTCAGCAGAGTTGGTATCTTCCGAGGCCTCTCTACTTGGCCTGTTGATAGCCATCTTCTCCCTGTGTCTTCCCATCTTTCCTCTATGTGAGTCTGTGTCCAAATTCCCTCTTGTAATGGATACACATTACACTGAATGAAAGCCTTCCTTAATGACCCCTTCAACTTGATTACCTGTTTAAAGAACCTGTCCCGAACACCTCCATGTTCTGAGGTTTTGGCACATTACAACTTTAACATGAATTTGGTAGCGAGGAAATATAACAGACTCATATTTAAAGCAATTAGGACTTGCTCTACAGTCCAGTCACTAATTTGATGTTCTTTACCCATGATCAATAGTTCTGATCTGGAAGATCGTTCAGTGGAACAGAAAAAAATAGAAATTGGAGAGGTCTATTTTCTCTGGCATCCATCAAGGCAGCACCCTGATTTCCACGCAGCTGGCTTGCCATCCCCATCGCTGTCAGACTCTGAAAAGAAATAAAAGCTCTGTTTGCAATTCTCCTGGAAAATGTTACTAAAGCTTAAACTTGTATTAACATTTAAAATCAGTATTTGTTTCCTAGAGCTGCCATAACACAATACCACAGACTAGCAGAGTTTAAAGAGCAGAAATGTATTTTCTCACAGTTTGAAGTGCAGGCAGGGTTGAACTTTTCTGAAGCCCATCTCCCTAACTTACAGATGAACATATTTTTATCATCTTGCTGTGTCCTCGTATGATTGTCCCCCTGTGTCCTTGCAGCCCTGATGCCTCCGTGTCCAAATCTCCTCTTATAAGAATACTAATTAGTTTGGATTACTTCCCGCCCTAATTATCTCATTTTAACGAAATTAACTCTTTCAAGGCCCTGTCTCCAAACACAGTCATGTTCTGAAGTAGAGGTTTCAAGAGTCAACACATGAATTTTGAATATTATTTAGTGCCTAACAGAACTCCTAAAAGTATCTTCACATTTAAAGCTACCCTCGTATCCATCCTGGGGCATGGATTTCACCTTCTGTCCATGTGTTTTTGAATCAGAATGCTTCCTACATAACCAGGGTCGTTTCTTTTTGCATTAAATATTTAGATTGCTTGGTCCTTGAAGACTGCAAGAGTCCTAGAAATTACCATTCCTTTTATGAAGGTGCTGTCTTCTGTAGAGGTGATACCGTGCCATTTATTAACCATGATGGCAGGCACTGATACATTTGAGAGTTTCACACACTTCCTAGAAACTGTCTTCCCTTCCAGAAACTAACATCAGTTTCTCTTCACAGGTCACAAGCAGATTCTGAATTGCATTTTTACTCCTCTTTCTACTTTCTCTAAGACAGAAGGACATTATTAATTTCTTTATCTTGATTACAGCCTTCAATATCTACAGCTTTACTTTCTTCCAGTGGTGGACCAGATTTGTTTTCAATAAGTCGGTATTTTTTTCTTTCTTTTTAATGAATAGATAAAACGAAATGCTGTCTTACTTACTTTTTCATTGCTGAGACACAATACTAGACACTCACAAGTTAAAGGAGGGGAGGTTTCTTGTGGCTCACAGTTTGTAGAGGTTTCAATTCATAGTCCGCTGGCTTGACAACAAAGTAGCATGGCAGAGGGGTGTGGCAGAAGTTCATGGCCTGGCAGTCAGGAAGCAGAGCGGGATCAAGGGAGGAGGAGGGATACATACCCTTCCAGGCCACAACCAGTGACCCACATCTTCCTACCAGGCCTCACCTCCCAACATCACACTCAGCTGTAATGCCTCAGTGGGCTAATCCAGTATCACATGCCCAGGATCCAGTCACTTCCCAAAGGCTCCACCTATGAGGGCAAGAGGCTTTCAGGAGACATCTAAATATAAGCCATAACAAATGCTGAACTGTATAATTAGCAACTAATATGCCCATATTAGCCACATTGATCTAACAGACCTGCATATAAACAGGAAAGTTTACTTACCCTTTTTCTTAAATTACCACTTCATTTTGGAGGTCTTTACTTCATTGGCAAATCTGTGAAGTATTTATTCATTTTCTATTGATTATATTGGTACATTTTAGGTATACAATATAATGATATTCATCACTGGAAATTTGCACCTTTACGTAATCTCTCTTGGTTATTATTTTTCCCCCTTCCCCTGTCCTCCCTTCAACCCCTCCACCCCTCCCCATCTACAAAGACTTTTTTTCCATTTTTTCCTTTTCTCATATTAATTCCATTCCCTTCCTTTTTTTCCCCTACCCATCAGTCACATTTCCCCTTCCCCTTTGCCCCTTTTCTTCCTATTTCACATTATCTACTATGCCTTTTAGGCCTTCTTTACACTTTCAGTTTCTCGTGCTAAACTATTCAGTATTTACATTTGCATGTCCTATTTATTTCACTTAAGAGTATCATGTCAATGTGTATCCATTTAGCTATAAAGTCTCTAGTTTCTCATTTCTTTATGGCTGAGTAATACTCCATTTTATTTTTTTTAAAAGACATTTTTCTTTATCCAGTCTCCAGTTGATGGGCAGTTGGGCTGTTTTCAAGTTTTAGCTATCACAAATTGTGCTGCTGTGAACATGGGTGCACATATATCACTGTGGTATGATTCTTTTAATTCTTTGGGGAAGATACCCAGCAGGGAAATAGCTGGGTCAAA